TCTTCTCCATTATACATACTTTTATTCCCCTATTTAAAAAAGTAAGGTCAAAGTATCATCTTTATATTCTCAGCACTAAGGAGGCAGAAAGTGGAGAGGATCAAAGGTTCAGGCCCAGTCTAGGTTCTATAGTGAGATTCTGTCTTCAACAAATAAAAAAATAAATAAAATAAAAATAAAAAAACAGCACTGAAAATGTAGTTCAATGGAGTATTTGACTATCATATGTCATGTGTCATGTCCAAAATCCTTGGTTTAATCCTCAGCACTTCAAAAACATAAAACCCTTGAGTATAAACTTTCTCCTATTGCCACTCCATTCCAAAATCCAATATGAAATCTGGAAGGAATATCACCTCTGTGGAACTTTGAAATGCTGTTTGTCAATCTATTGTCTTGATGCTGCTTAAATTCATGCCCTTGAATATTGAAATTACTTATGAGCAATAGAACTGAGCAGACATAATTGCCTCACAGATACATTTTTTGAAAAGCTCACCATCTCTAGAGGGGAAATGCAAAAGTTGAAGTGAGATGTTGCCTCACACCCTCACACATGTACACACATGTATATATACAAGGTCAGTGGTTCACACCTGTAATGCTAACTACTTCGGATGCTGAGATGATAAGGGTTACAGTTTGTGTCCAACCTGGTACAAAAGTTCCTGACATACTTTTTTAATCTACAGCTGGACATAGTGGTGCTCAACTGTAATCCTAGCTAGGTGAGAGGCTGATATGGGTAGGATTGTGGTTCCAGGCAACCTGGGCAGAAAAATTCGTGGAAATCCATCTCAACAAAGAAGAAGCAGGTTGTGGTGGTGTTTGTCCTATTAAATACCCTATTTTAGGGTCAGGCAACTGTCAAAGCAGGAAGCAGGACCCTATCTTAGAAATAACTAGTGCTCAGAAGGGTTGTAGGTATAGCTCAGCAGTACAACACCTGCCTAGGTGTGAAGCACTGAATCCAAACCTCAGCACTGCTAAAAAATACAACTAGAACCATGATCTAGCAATCCCACTCCTCAATAAATATTTGAAGGAAATGAAATCAGTATGTCCAAGAGACTCCTGCAGCCCCATGTTCATTACAACACTAATCATAAAAGCCAAGAAACGGAAACAATTCCTAAGTGTCCGTCAACTGATGGCATGAATAAGGAAAAATGTTGTTCAGCCATAAAAATAATGAAATCATGTCATTTGAGACAACATAGAACTGGCGATCATTATGTTAAGTAACAAAAGCCAGGCATGGGAAGGCAAGTATCACAAACTCTCAGTTATATGTGGGATCTAAAATCGGAAATTGAGAATAGAATAGTGATTACCAGAGGCTGGGAAGGATGGAGATGGTGGAGGGATGGGAAAGATTGGTCAATGTGTATGAAGTTATAACAAGAAGTTTGGTGCTCTGTGGCACAATCTCATAATTACACACAATGTACTATATATTTCAGAAAGCTAGGAGAATTTTCAATGTGTTTACCAGAAAACAGTCATACTTGACAGTGGATTGACCTGATTTGAACATATGTGTGTATTGAAACACCAGATGGCACCCTGTCACCCCACTAATGTGTACAATTTGCATTATTTAATTATTTTTTAATTTTTGTTGGTCATGGGGCTTGAACTCTGGGCCTGGATGCTGTCCCTGAGCTCTTCAGCTCAAGACTAGGGCTCTACCATTTGAGCCACAGCACCACTTCCGGTTTTCTGGTGGCTTATTAAGATAAGAATCTCACTGACTTTTCTGGCCCGGGCTGGCTTTGAACCGTGATCCTCAGGTCTCAGCCTCCTGATCAGCTAGGATTACAGGCATGAGCCACTGGAGCCTGGCAATTCATATCTTTTATTAAAATTAAAAATAATTAGGACTGATCAGAATTTCACCTTTTTGTTAATCATTTGAACAGAGCAACTAGATTGCAGCCTCTGAGCAGTGGTATGGCTGGCTTGAATTGTTTGCTTCAAAAAGGGCTGCCTTGGATTTCAAGAGAAATCTTGAGCTTCACTTTGATGGGCAGTGAAGGAATCACAACACGTGAAAATTATTAAATAAAAATTTATTGACTTCAAATAAAAAATAATTAAAAAACAAATATATCTGATCTACTCCTCAAGTATAAATACCTCCAAGCGTGGTATCCTTACACTGATTCCATACCATCTTTACCTTCATCCTCTCAAGACAGCATCTGTCATCCACCTCCTTCTCAAAAAGTGAAGGGAAAAGAACAAATACAAAAGCTAGTGTTTGCCTTTGATGCTGATATATCCTCTGAAGCCAGGTATTTGATAATTACTGGGTTATGAGTCTGAGATTAAATGATACTTTACTCAAGGACTGTTGAGTATGGTTTCCAGACCTACAATGTAATAGATGGGAATTCAGGATCCTATTCCCTCATCAGCTATGTCCAGAATGAGTAAGTCTTCCTAGATGCCAACAACCCTTTGAAGGGGTTACCTTATGGTACAAATGAGGAGGGCTGAGACAAAAATTACTAGTTGAAGAACAGCAGATAAGAAGCAGTAATGCTATGACTCTATTCAGATTGGTTTTTCTCTAAACTCAGAAAAGGCCTGTAGATCTCTCTAGTCTGTTTGGTGACAGCTCATCCTGCCCTTTCTTTCCTAGCCTTTGCACCTCCTCACTCCAACAAACCCCTGTCTTGCTAATAGCTGTCTTCTACTTCCTCCCCTACTCAGCTCATCAAAATGAGAAATTGGGTTCTTCAATTGACCAATATCATTTCTGCGACACCACTTTCTCACTTTCTTTTTGGTTCATAACATTGGAAGTTTGGCTATAGCATCTGTTTATATTTTTCCATGCTATTGTCTTTTACTTCCCTCCATTGCAAAGGCAATTTTATTTTAGCTCCTGACTAAATCTTATGTAGTCTGCACGCAATAATGTAATGATGCATGACGCTTCACATGCCTGAAACCTTGAATATTCTAACTTCTGGCCTCAATAAATAGATCTACCTACTTACCTTATATCCCCCAGTAAAAAGCTTCTCCACATCCTGGATTTCATCAGATCGATCCAATGTATTGATCACAAGTCCTATTATCTTTCAAATCCTATCGTATCCACAACTGTATGACATTCAAAGCTATTTTTTACGCTCTTTCCTCTTAAAGCTTTGTTAGCTTCTAAATGTCAAGTGGCACTTCACTTTTCTCTATTCCTTCATTTGTCCTGGGATCAAGGAGTTTCATCTATATAGCCAGTAATATTAAGCCAGCTAGAGGGGACACATGAAAGGACTTGTGATAAATCTAGTTTAAATTTTCCCCTGAAGATATAATAGCCGGGTACCTCTAGGGGGCGCTCCGTCTTACGAAATAAAAGCCTGTCTTGGGGATGGTCTCATTCTTAGGGTGTATTTGCGGAGAACTTAAGCCCACAAGAAAGGGTAGGTTCAAATTTGGTTACTAAACTTATTTAGATTCAAAGTCTTGGAGGAATGCTTGCTGTCAACCTAAACCAGGCTTCCAGCATGGTCCTCAGCTGCCCCAGCCAAAGGGCACAGACTTTCAGAATTGCACTGCTAGCTGCTCATCTGAGGGTTTGTAGAGAATTAAATTGAGCTTGAATTCTGGACAAAAGCATGCTGGGAATACCTTCCTGCTGGGTTAAAACAACAACAACAACAAAAAACCTCCCTGACACCTACTAGTATCCACTCTTAAAAAAAAAAAAAAAGTTTGTGCAATTTGCCTTAGAAAGACCAGTCCAGGACAAGAGCATAACAGTTTAATCGACGGTCCTGTGGTCCTTTCCAGCTTCTTTCTGCGGTCCAGACAGTACTTGTGACCCTCTTCTCTTTGTAAGTGTAACCACAATTCCTTGGAGAGATGAATCTCCCGATTCATTCAGAGAGGGCTTTAGTCTCCTCTTTGACCTTTGGCATCAAATTGGGAGATACTTGTTTGTTGTTTTTTTTTTTTTTTCCCCTCCCTCTTTCCCAGTGCTGTGTGAGGATAAAGCAGACATCCAAGGCGTGCCTCCATTCTGCAGCTCTGGGCAGGCAGGCACACTCCAAGTTCTCTTTCCAGTCTAAGAAAGCCCAGGGTTTCCAATCTAGACCTGACACCGTGGCTCCAGCTGCCCGCAGAGAGCCAGAGGCTGCTGGGCCTTAGCTCCGCCCCGCTCCCCCCCCCCCCGGGGCCAGGGGTGACTCTGCGATGATGCCCCGCGTCCTGTGCTCCAGCTCCGGGCCAAGGGTGCCGCAGGCGCGCACGGGCGGGTCCGTGTGACTGTGTGGGAGTTGCGTGTGTCTCTGGGTGTGAGATGAATTCTTGGAGTCATTCATCTGGGTGTTTTCTCGGAGAGGTTTTGCTTCACAATCCTTTAGGGGATCATGGAAACTTCCCCCCCCTTCTTTTCTGGCTAGAAGGATGAAAACTGAGTAAGTACACAGAACTTTGAACTTGAATGGGATGGAAACCAATACAAGCAAAGATCCTGACAGTAACGCTGTCCTTTGCCAACCACGATTCCCATTTTATGTTTAAAAAAAAAAAAAGAGCTTATGGGGAAGTGGCCATTTAAAGATCGAATGGAGGGAAGCAGGGGAGAAACATAAAAGGCTGGGAGCAGGCAGGAAAATGAAAAACTCCTAGGGTAACCTGGCGCGCGCCCAGCTGTGCCACAGGCTTTTGGGGTTTAACCTTCTGCGTTCTTGGGCGCTGTGTTCTGACTCCAGATTTGTTTTTTTTTTGGGGGGGGTTGTTCTCCCTTGTTCCTGTAATGCTGAGATAGAACTGGACTCCCTAACTGTGAGTTTAATGGAAATAAGGCATTGCAGGAAGCAACAGTTTGGCAGCCTGAGACGCCCTCCCATTATTAGTTACAACTTCTTTTTTTTTTTTAAAGCAGTCCTCCATGGAAGGGCTCTCATTAACCACATCTGACTTAGGGGACCTATGACCCCTGGGCACGACCCTTTCGGGAAGTTCTTAAGCAAAGATGGAGCAGACGTGATTGGAGTTGTGGATAAAGAAGACAGACTTGTGGTACTTCATGCTGACGACAAATAGCTGCTATGACGACAACGTGGAAAGTGGCCAAGTGAAGCTGAACTGGTCATGGTCTGTCGCCCAGGGTTCCTTTGTCGTCGGCGATTTTGCCCTCGGCCCTTCTTGGTGGGCTTGGTGGTGGCACTCTGTCTCTTCTATCAGACCCTGACACTCCGTGGGGCGAGGAAGATCACAGCCCCTGCTCCTGGGGCTGCCCCCCACACTCCCACCGACAGGCACCCAGGATATCCATGCAAGCAAGGATACCCAAAGGACGAACCCTGCTTCCTTCTCTCCGGTAATGCACAGGAAATCAAGGAGGTAAGTCTCAGAGCGCCAGGTTATACAAAGATTGCATTCTGCCCTCTCCGTAGAACTAAAATTAACTTCCAAGAGGTTGGACAGGGATCCAGGAGAATAAACAGCCCAGAGAGTGGCCTGATGACAGGCCAGCACAGTTACATAAGCTTCTATTTGTTAAATTTACTTCCAGAAAGTTCTGGCTTTTATTTTTATCAGCTTTTTTTTTTTCATTGTAGTGGAATGAAATAGAGCGATTTCAGCGTGTCTCCATGTGTATTGGACTCCTTTCTAGGATATGAGGAATCTAAAAGATGAATGGAGGGTGTACAGACAAGAGAAGTAGATTAAAACTTTAAACTTTGATGAATATTGAGTGTGTCTTTCCTTAAGGTCGTCGATTTGAATGCCTGGACCATTCTAGACTCAGACACTTTAAACTTAAGTTTTGTTAAGATACATCAGTATCTTAATCTTGCATGCATTTCTACAGTGGTATATTTATTTCTGAAGCATTTAAAAGACTAGTGTCACAGGCTTCCTTAAAATGAATTGATGCCCTGTTTCATTATCTGTAGAGTTAGGGAACTATGCAGGTAAATATTACTAATCATGCCAATTATAGGATGAAACAGAAACAAAGAAAACAGAGTATCCCCTTTAATAGGCCATTCTGTTCATGGAAATCAGTAAAATGATGACTTTTGAAACAAAAAGAAAAACAAGGGGGAAGAAAACTCAGGCACACAAAATTATAATAGCAGAGACATTAGATTCTATATTACCACCAGAAGTTATCATAGCAAGAGAATTTAGAAATCTCTAGGTTATATCCAATATCTGTGGTAAACTTACGTTGATCTTCTGATCCTAGTCATTGTTTGGGTCACAATTTCCTCTTAGATACCAGCACCACCACCTGTACCATCATGAGCAACCATCATTATTCATTTCACGTCAGATTCGTAACACTATGACACATAAATATGTGAGAGGAATAATCGTCATCAACTGACAGGATGATTGACTCTGAAAGATATGTCAGCAGACATGGTGACAGGAGGATTCCCCAGAGGAAAAGAAATAAGCATCCCTAGGACCAGAATGCTCGAAATAAAACTCAAAGCTCTTGTAATAATTGACAAAACCATAACTACAAGAACATCAGAACAGAAAATAGCTATGAAAATAACATTAGATGAAAGTAAGAAAATTGAAGACTTTTAAGTGTCTTCTTTTTCTTAGCAATAAAGTCAAGAGTACCATAAGCCAAGAAATTTGGAAAGAATAGCAGATAACATAAGTAGAGACTCCTTGACAGGAAACTTGGCTTGATCATGTAAATCAGTTTTTCTGTGGTGTAAAGAATTAAAGAATATGGATTTTTGATTCATTTGTATTAGCATTAATTCTCTTTTTCTTGGACATATCCAATTGATGATCATTTGAATTGACTTTGAAAGTTCTGTTAGTTTCTACTTCTTGGAAGTGTAATTTCTTTTGGTCAAGATAGCTTATATTTAAGCCCTTAAAACATTTTCTAAGAATTTTTGATGAAAGGCTTTATTCCTTAGCTTACAGGCTTTCTTATTCCCCTGCGGGACTTTCTGTGATTCCTGCTTTGTTTGCCATATAGGCATATGTTAACCATTACTGTAGACTGTCATAGAAAATTCCATTTCTACTTTGGATTGCCTGCTACTCACAGCCATCTGAAACAGATTGGCTGTTGGTATAAAACATTCACTCTAGAATTTTCTTCAACAAAAACACCAAACACGTGATGACTTGGTTTTCAAATGATTCACAGTCTTAAATATTTAAACATAAGCAAGATTGCAGATGCAAAATTATACTTTAGAAACCCAGAGGTTATGGAAACAATATTTGCAATCATTCATTGGGTACCTACATTTTAGACCTTGTGCCAACCACTGGTTTAGAGCTAATTTTATTTGAGTTACTAACGCAAATAAATTCTGCTTGCAATAGATATCCTTTCAAAAAATCAAATAATAACCCATTGGAATCATTAAATGTACTTTCATATATCTAAAATAGAGAAACATATACAGATATTACTACATTTGGATAACTATCTTATAAAAATGCATATTTATACAATTCATTAAGAAATAAATGAAAGACACAGTATAAAATGTTCCTTAAGATTTATAACTACCCTTTCGTATTTTTAGAAGTAGCATTGCTTCAATCTACATGTTTTGAAATTTGTTATAACTTATATTAGCAAGCCAAAATATTAATGTTGATAAAGCAGTCGCTTAGTTGAATTTAGAACAATAGATTCAAAATGTATTTGAATATATAAAATAAATATAACCCTAAGAAATTTTATGCAACAGTTCTAAGAATATGCATATGAAGAGCTCCAGGAAAATTAGTTATGTTGGTCCAATATTCAGAATTAAAAACTAAAAGCCATTCAAAATGTTTAATAACCAATATGTTTAAAGGTGTAACCGATTGTCATTTTAGGTGTGCAAATTGCATGTGGATAAACTTAAAATGAAAAATAAATTTTAATTAAAGACATGTGGGCTTACAATGAGTGTGTGTGTACATAGTATATGTATGTGTATTTCAGTGAATTCAGTGAAGTGTGCAGAACTAAATGTTCAGAAATCAGAGTGTGCCAGAATATATCTTGAATCAGTTTTTATTCATTGATGAGTAAGCAGTAGGTAGTTTCCAGTCTGTTTTGGTTGCAGTTGCATCCAAGCAATATCCTTTTGCACTCTATCAGCCTAGTAAGAGTGTGCTAAAAGGAGCATATATCTGAACCTGAGTAACATTGCCCTCCACAGCTTTACCATTGGGATCTGAGTCAATCTCTAAATCTGTTTTCAGTATAAACTGAGGTCATGGTATACTATCTGCCAATGTTCAATACGAAGGAAGTTCTCTCCCTCTTTATGGCCAAGTTTTAATTCATTTTCCATTTGAGTGTTCCAAAGTGCCTTATTAAGCATTGGTATAACTGCCATTTCTTCTATATGGTCCTTCAATATTGGATATTTGAATATTGTCTGATAATCTGCCCAGTTTTAGAATGATTCCAACTTACATATAAACATAGTTTTGTTGTCTTCACGGAAGGCAGTTACCACTCCATTCTCCTACTCTCCTGGAATCTCACACCTTAACATGGCATAACACAGAGAACACATTAAATTACAAACAGACACAACGGGAGAAAATCTCTTCAGTACATGCTCCTCTAATGGAACTTTGCTATTTGAGGAACACATCTGTACTTCTGAGAGCCATGTGTTTCTGATTATCTCCTGTTGAGGCTTCACAATGAGAAACACTATTTCTTTGACTCTTGCTTGACTGTTTATTTTCCATGTCTTTCTGAGTCTCCATTCTATTCACTAACTGTTCTATAAAATCTTGACTCTTTGCCTCCCAGAATCCAGCCCTAGCCTGATGTAAATAAGTCAGTGTTATTATAAATGTTCTGATTAATTTTGTTTGTACTTCTTCTTGTAAATGATGCATTTAACATTCGAAAACGTCTTCAACCTTAACTCATTTTGTCAAGTGTTCTTGGAACAGAAACCTCTGTCAAACTCACACATTGTCTACTTTAGTGGAAAATGCAACCCCAGGGCTGTCAGGGGATGAGAGGGATGATAAAGGCGTAGAAGGGACTGCAAACAGGAATGGCTTATTATTGGGAGTCACAGCTACGGAAGCTGTCCATAGTTATTGCATCTCAGAATAAGCCTCAGGGGTAAGGGGAAGCAGAGACTAGCAATGCATCTCCTGGCTTCCTCTGCTTCTATCTTTCATTGCTTGGAGTCCATGGTAGTTATAGGTAGTAGCCTGGACCACAGGTGGCCACTGGAGAGTCCAAGTCCATGGATGTCATTTTCCAGTGAAAAGCAGAAGTGGACCATCTCAGTCAACTAATACTGTCATAAGAGTCAGGCCATTGATGGCAGAGGTGGTAAAAGCAGTCTGTAGCTTTGGAACTGCAAGAATGTTGTGAAAATTGTCATGCGTGGGTGAGGAGGTTGTGAGTGAAGGAGTAAATGAGCGAAGCCAAGTGATCCAGTAACCACTGATACAGGAGTGATAATAAGTTTATTTTTTATAAGTGCACTAAAAATGTCAAAATGTGCTCTTCCTCTTGAGAAATTGCTCAAGAGTGCTTTCTTTAAATAAATAAAACTGTAATTATCTCACTGAAAACCCTCCAGTTCGGCTAAAAGGAGAAAGAAAAAACCTTACTTCTTTCTCATCCTTTTTCCTCTTGATCCATCTCAGTTATTCTTTCATTGTTTTCATTTACTTAATAAATATTTATTGGGAAATGTGTAGGTATCTGGCTCTTTAGGAGATACTGAGTATACAGAAATAAAAACTACCATGAGACAAATAAAAAGAAACATAGCACTAGGAAACTGATCATTATAAGACTACTTTGGGGGCCAACTATGATGGTGCATGCCTGCAATCTCAGCTACTTGTGAGGCAGAGATGAGATTACAGCTCTAGGCCAGCCAAGACAAAATTTAGTGAGACTCTTTCTAAAAACAAACTGGGTGTAATGAAACACAGTTACAATCCCAGCCACTAGGAGGAAAGCAGAGGTAGGAAAATCATAACCCAAGGTTGTCCTGAGAGAAGGAAAAAGACAAGATGAACTTAAAAACAGACTAAAAACAAATGACTAGTCACATGGTTCAAGTAGTTGAGTGCTCGCCTAGCAAATATAGGGCCCTAAGTTCAATACCCAGCACTAAAAACAAGAAAAGACTACTTTTTGAAAGGAGCTAGAGAAGGGGCAGCAAAAAAGCTAGAGAAGATGAAAGAAAGAAAAAAGCACTACAGACTGAAAAACCGACATATGCAAGGAAAAATCACGTAGCCTGGCACATAGCACAAAGTATTTGTTATGGTGTGGTGGTAGTGGTGTGTGTGAGTGTGTGTGTGTGTGATTGAAGGAAGCAAGAAGGCTTTTACATAATGCGGAAAGGCCAGCAAGGTCT